CTCTCTCTCTCTCTCTCTCTCTCTCTCTCCTATGGCCACCGCCCAGAACGGCACCGCCGCGAAGTCACTCTCGCCGCCGGACAATGCCTCCGCCGAGACGGAGTTCGAGGCCGCCGCGCCGGAGAAGAGATGGCCGGGGTGGCCCGGCGACTGCGTCTTCCGTCTCATCGTGCCGGTGGGGAAAGTGGGAAGCATCATTGGGCGCAAGGGAGAGCTCATAAAGAAGATGTGCGAAGAAACTCGATCCCGCATTCGCGTTCTCGACGCTCCTCTCGCCACTCCTGATCGAATTGTACGTCTCTATTCTCCTTCCTAGCCTAGGGTTTTTGGTTTTTATTTTTTTAATCTTTAATTTCACCTCTTTCCAGTGCTACCCAATTACCCTAATTTCTGTAAATTTCTTGGTTCCCTGTAAAATTCTCAGCTTTCGTTTAATTTAGGTCAATGTGCTTCCACTTATCTTCTATAGGTACCCGTGGTAGTGTAATACACTTTTTTTTCTTCTTCCCATTTTCTTTGCCTGTGAGTTTAAAATTAGAAATAACGCGTTATTAAAGTTAATAATTTTTATGGAAATGATTGAATGAGGATGTCACACTTTTTGCCTATTCGAATTAAATTCATTACAGTAGCGTTACTACTTATAGCATAAAACATTTTTGCTGTTTGGGAAAACGGGCTTTTTCCACTTTCCAATGTAGAAAAGTTAAGGGAAGAACTTGTTTGGATCCTGTCTTATTAATGTTTTTGAGAACTTCTGTATCAGAAAATACTCTTTGTTTCTGGTAGAGAAGCTCCAAAACATGCTTCTAGCTTGTACCCAAAAGCTTGAAGAGTGGTGCTGAATTTAAACGTAGCTACAATACGAACAAGTTTGAATGTGTTTTGTTTCGCTTTCTGCATTATTTATGCTTTCCTCTCATTAAATGTGTGTTTTATGGCCTGTTTGGATGCACGTAAGTTAGATGTGGATCACGTGGAAGCTAATAATACTAGCTTTTGCGACCATTTCATTATTTTGGATGTGGAAATATGTTAATAGTAATACGCCGGTTGTCAAATTGCAACCAGACATCCACTTAGTTGGTGTTGTATTTTGGGTTTTACGTTTGTTTTTGTAGTTCGACTTCTGTTTTATCATTACTTGGTTGCTATATGTGGTTTGTGTCCTTCATTCCATGTCAAAGTGTTGCTTTTGTTTCTGGTTTGTATGGACTATTGGTTGGGGCTCTGTATAGAGTCTTTATGTGTATGAGGTTAGAATGCTTTTTAGTTTCTTGTAGAAAGTGAATGGAAGTTGATTCTGCAGTTCAGTTGCTTTGTTGTTTGTAGTTTGTATATTGCTGTTCGGATGATAAATGTATGCTTGCTCACCAACTCTTTTTGAACGTTTTCCTATGATGAGGGCCTTTATTTATTTGTGCATTTGTTTCTGTTTTATACTGAATGTGTGTTTTTTTTTTTTTTTTTTTGCTGCACAATATTTTAGTTGCTATAATTATTAATTATATTATCAATATATTTTTTTTTTTTTTTTTAAATTTTTTTTTTTTTTTTTTATTTCTTATAGGTACTTGTATCAGGGAAGGAAGAGCTGGAGGCAGCTCTTTCCCCTGCAATGGATGCTGTAATAAGGGTATTCAAGCGAGTCTCTGGATTATCTGAAACTGATGCTGAGAACAAAGATTCTGCTGCTGGTCTTGCATTTTCTTCAATTCGTTTATTGGTGGCATCAACACAGGCTATTAATTTAATTGGAAAGCAAGGCTCGTTAATCAAATCTATTCAGGAGAGTACCGGTGCTTCTGTTAGAGTACTGTCAGGAGGTATGCTTCCTGTCATGTTATCCAATTATATGTCTATGATGATCCCTCTAATTCTTTGTAGCAATTGTTTTGTGTATTCTATTTTATGGACTAATGTTATGTGAAGCATAGGTGTCAATCCTACGTAGTAGTGGTGTGGATCGCTTGACCATAAAAGGATGCTATACTGAAATAGCAAATAATCCATGCTTAACAGACACACAACATAAAAACAACAAAGGAACATGTTTATCATTCATACTCAAAATAAATGCGAATAGTCATTATTAATATAGGCTTACTCCCTCATCTCGAAAATAAGCAACAAAATCACATGTATGCTGGCCTTCATTTAATTGTGGTTTTATTTTCAATGACAATTTTTTATTCATGATATCAATCTTCAAATTGAAGGGTAGTTTAAGAATTTTTTTTAAACTACAATTAGGACAATTAAATGATACTAATTAACTTTCTTAATTAGTTTTTTTTTTATTCGAAACTGGGGGGAGTAGCTAATAACAATAATAATGAAAAATGATTAATGTAAGACTGATATAATGAAGGTGCAAAAGCCAGAAAAAAAAAAGAGGAGAGATGCTGTGAACCTGGAGGAAAAGCCACTATGCTACCAGGACTTTGCCAGGAAAACAATGGGCTGAGCTGGAACACCCCTTATCTGCCATTATATGGCTGTATAAATAAGAAAATGTAAACAAAGACATGGACTAAGGAGAGAGATAACAGGTGTGAGTTGCTGAAAACCAGACAAAAAAAGGGATCATTGCATCACCCCACCAGTTTCCTTGAAAATACTGACTTGTAGTCAGCAATGTTAGAGTTGTGGCGGCTGTCATCATGAATTAGTTCTTGGTTTGTGGAGGCAGCGCCTTGGAGTGAGATGAGATTAACTAGTAAGAAGAGAAATAGTTACCAAAAATGGATGTCCTAGTTTTGTAAATAACAAGAGGGAAAAAGCAAGTTAGTATGGGGAAACCTATAAAAATAATTCTCCCATCTTTCTTTGATATCTTGATTTGTGAGCAAAATTGTACACTCTTCACCTTTAATACATTTCACATGATCCAAATATCTTGTTTTTTTTTTCTCCTATTTTTGGCAAGATTATATAACTTATGTTCTCCATTCTTTGTACCAAGACCATCTCCTCAAAAGCTTTAAATCATGCTTCACTTACAACTTTCCTTGTCTCATTTGTAGCATTCCCAAGAAAGCAATATCTTCTAACTAGTAAATTTATATTAGTTGTGTCATATAGATGAAAATGCCCTAGGCTTATTCAAGTATATGATTATTCTACTATATAATGTTGTTGTTGTGTAGTTAGACAACGACCATATAGTCTTAAATAGTAACTTTTTGTACCATCAACTTGTGCATTGATGAGTATTGTGAATAGACATAGTTGATAGGTAAAATTGATTATGCCCACTGAACTTTCTTATGTATTTTGCATTAGAATCTGCATATAAGTGCTTGTCCTTGCTGCTAGGTATCCTTGTGTCCCTGTCCTGTTTACTTTTGAATGCAATAATTACTGTTCCCAGATTAAAATAAGACCTCTTCCAGACTAGTAATTCTTAAACTCCATATTTCTTGTCAAATCTGGATGCAATTATACTAATGATCAGAGTGCATCTTTTCTCTTCTTTCATTGTAGCATGGCATTCTAGTTAGCATTCAGTGATTTAATATATATTATTTTTAATGCCAAATCATTTTCATGAAGATGAGGTGAAACTTTATGCTACTGCGGATGAGAGAATTGTTGAAATGCAAGGAGAAGCCTTCAAGGTCCTTAAAGCTCTAGAAGCAGTAGTTGGCCATCTTAGGAAATTTTTGGTTGATCATAGTGTTCTTCCCCTATTTGAGAAAACTGTAAGTTCTTACTTTTCTTGATTAAATTAGAAAACATCTTATGGTCTCTCTGCCGCTCAACTTTCACCAATTATGTTACTGTGCCCTTTCTTTGATATTCTGCTGATGACTGTTTCGAGGAAGTTGCCATCTAAGATATGCATTGAGATTGTTCATCTTTGCTGCATTTTCAATTTTCATAGTTCTTTGATATGTTTTTGCTTTTTCTATTTGGAGGATATTTTACCCTTTTATAAATGGGCATGTGAGTGAGAATTGCTGAAACTTTATAAACTCTATTTAAGTCATATCTCTAGTTTAGTCCATCCTCCTTGATGGCATTTGGTGGGTCGGGCTTGGGCTAATTGTTGGACTCAAGATAACACATTGAGTTTTAAATAGAGATAGAAATTTTTTAGGTCAGTTTTGACTACAAACACAGGTTTTCCTCCTAACAGAGTATCCTCCTTCAAAACATAAGGAATAACAACCTGACACCTTAATTGCCTTTTGCAAGTCTGTAACACAACTTACTTATCACTAAAACTGTCAAATCATAACCTATGACTGCTTCATCTGAAATTCATGTAAGACTAATAGTTTCCTGATAAAGAATTATAATTATCAAAATCAGATATTGGTCTATCACTGATTCACTGTGATATTTGGCTTAAAAGTACAAAGCAACATATATTTTCTGATTTGAATTGCTACTGTATTTTGTTAATGTAATCATTTAAGAAAATGATTAGTGTATTATTTTCTGATTTTACACTATTGTATGTGATTTCTGTTTATTGTTGAAGTACAATGCGCCCATCTCACAAGACCGTCAGGCAGAGACATGGTCTGACAAATCACTGCTGCATACTACTTCACAAACTAGCATTTTTGCTGATATTCCTCTTTCAACAAAAAGGGATTCTATCCTAGCTGACCGAGAAAGTCAATTGGACTCATTACTCCCTTCCTCCACTATGTCTCTCTATGGACAAGAATCTTCACTTTCTGGTATTCGTTCTTCAGCTCTTGGCCGTGTTGGTGCTCCTATTGTTACTACGGTTAGTTATATTAACCCTTCACATGTTTTCTGATCATTGCCTTACATGAAATTTACTGGGGAAGGGGACTGATATATGTGATTGCCTCTATTTTGTCAAGTGTTATTGCTTGTTGTAAAATAATGTTACTGTGTGTGATTGCCTCCATTTTCTCATGTTTACTACTTGTGAATAAATGTGTGCGTGCCTCTATTACATCAAGTTTTACTACTGGTTGCAAATAATGTCTCTAGTTTTACTACCTGTTGTAAAAAAATATGTATGCAATTATGGAACCCAGACAAAATTTTTAGCGGGTGCAAAAATTTAACACATGATAAAAAAGATGCAACAAGGACTAATAAATGAAGAGAAAAATTGTAACATTAAACTTAAAATGCTAGTCAGAAAGTGCAAAGTTAAACTTATATTTTAAAAATATTTTTTTAAGCATGCGACATTCCTAGCCCCTTCAATTGGTGGGATTTTCCACAAACTACAGCCAAAAAAGCTGTCATTTAAATCCAAATATTAGAGGGGCAATTTTTGTTTATATTTTTTTTTTATGTATAAGATGCTAACAAAATTCTTAATTTTAGGGGGGGTGGGGTAACTGTCCCTATTTACCTATACTTAGTTCCATTGCTGTGTGTTATTGCCTCTATTTTTTACTACTTGTTCCAAAATAATGTGTGCACGTCTATTATTGTGGGCTGAAGGGGGGCTCTTGCTTGAGGAGACATATTAGACTAATTATTTGAGTCTTCATGTATTGGCTTAAACTTTTGAATGATTGTTTTTGAAAATAATAATTATCTACTGATTTTTATGCGGGACTTTTTGAAAATAGGAACATTTTACTGGTCTAACTTTTGGGTTCTGAATCATTAATTTATTGCTTTTTCTACATTTACTCTTGCACCTCTTAAATCACATGATGATCTGCCTCTAGGCCTAGTTATTACATGGATGTTTAAAATTTGTAATAGCTTATGATGTATATTGACTTCTTGTGTAGTAACTAGTAAGCATTTAAATGTGTTTGCTCATACTCCAGTCCAGTCTACATATTTTGTTTATTTATCTCTTCTGTATTGATAGTCATGCTATTCTTTATTCCTCCTTTCCACTTATCAGGTAATACAAACAATGCAAATACCACTGTCGTATGCGGAGGACATAATTGGTATTCAGGGGGCTAATATTGATTACATTCGCCGCACTAGTGGAGCCATATTGACTGTGCAGGAGAGCAGGGTGCCTGATGAAATCATCGTGGAAATAAAAGGCACCTCATCTCAGGTTCAAACAGCACAACAGTTGATTCAGGTAGGAGACTTCAGAAGCTTTTTCTTCTAGTAAAAAAGTGATATTTTTCTGTTTCTGTTACTCCTGTTGTATGATTATCATAATTACATTAGCGTATGTGCATGTTTGGATGGGGGTGGTAGTTAGTATTTATACATGGGGAGGTCTTTCCTTTACATATTTCTATTCTAGGCGCTCATTTTGTAGCTATTAATGCTTCAGTTGGTAGAATGCTTTTGGAACATTCACTATTTCTTGATTTTCTCGTCCTTATTTTCTTGCCTGAAATCTTTTTATTACAAGCACAAAGTGTTACTTTATAGTGAAAGCTGAGGATTGAAACACACTAAATTCAATTCTGTTTATAACAGGGAAGTATGAAATAAAAGACGATTTCAGATGAAAACATGGTAATTTTGATTCATAAATATCTCTATATAATAAACTAAGTAGGTACATTTTAAGCGGACACTTACCATGTTACTATTTTGTCTGGAAGTTAATAGTTGGGTGTTTTCCTTACTTCAACCTGAATAGGCCAGTCTTTTGGGATTTAGTCTTTTGTCTTTGGCTGATGGATAAGACTAACTTTTCAAAGATAGTATCCATTCCTGAAGTGACATGCTCATGCACAACACAAGACAAAATTAAGCACAAGTGTGAAATTTTCACCTTATGTTTTGTTTGACTGACACTTGATTAGAGTACTTACCATCAGGGTATAATTTCTGTTGGAACAATTGATTAATTTTGCTTTTGCTCACAGAAATTATTTTCATTGCATTGCAGGATGTTGTAAGCAATCATAACGAACCTGTCTCTAGCAGTTACGGCAGGCTAGATGCAGGTCTGAGGTCTTCATACTCTCAGTTGGGCCCTGCATCACGCCTCTCATCTTCCTTGCCCTCACAACCATACACAGGTTATGGAGCTTCTGGTTTAGGAGACTACAGTACATTCAGGCTTTAAAATGGTTTCCCTATATTCAAGGTACTCCATTTGGACTGCTTTCTTTCTAATTGGGTCTGATTGGAGAGAATTAATGCTTTAATACATCATGAAGCCTTAGAAAATCTTGTTTTTATGTATTTGATATCATCTTGTATCGTGGGTAATTTAGAGGTCTCAAATAGTTGAGAATTTTTATAGAAAATGTAATGAAATATTAATTAGCCATTTTGATGATGTTTGTTTTTGTTAAGTGCGCATGTGGAGCATGTTGCAATACCAAATTTCGATACTGTATTATTTGTTAGATATTTTAGAAGTTAAAGTCTCATTAATTAATTTCGTTAATTTTTAAATTCATCTTTTTATGAAAATAGGATATTATATTATCTACTTCTAACTTTCACACTTTCATAAACTTATATATATATATATATATATATATATATATATATATTAACTTGGCCTGTTTTACTTGTGTTTTATTTGCTGTTTTCATTTTCTATTTTCACTTTTTAATTACAAAACTTCGACCTTATTTTCAATTTGTTCCATATTTTTCAAGATTTGTTGAAAACAGGAAGCAAATCGAATACAAGGTAGCAGTTTTGTAATTTAAAAAAAACAAAGCCCTACTTACTCGCGTCTTCATTTATGTTTTTCACTTTTTAATTACAGAATTGATACCTTGTTTTCATTTTATGTCGTGTTTTCATTTTATGTCGTGTTTTTCTTCTACAAATCTTTAATAACCGGAAACAAATTGAAGACAAGGTGGCAATTTTGTAATTAAAAAGTGAAAACAGAAAATGAAAATGCAAATAAAATAATGATGTTATTTTCATAAATTTAAATAATTCCTTAATAAAATCTTTAAAAATCTGATTAATTAAAATACGATGTTTAAATATAGAAAATGAATTAAAATTTCATTTAAATACTTCAAAATAAATTTCAAGTTTCATTATCACAGTGGTCGAGCAATAATTAAATATTAATTAATAATATTTAACTATAGGATATATCATTATTATGTATGAGAAAATTTTTAGGGTTTTTTTAATCAGAACATTAGGGAAATATTCTTGAATTAAGAGATTTTTCTCAATTTCGTTATCGTTTATAATTTTATCATTTTCAATTTTATTTGAATTGGATTTTAATATATATAATTTTAAAATTTATAAATGATTAAAATAATTTTACATTAAAATATAAATTGAAATATATTTTGTATGTTAAAAATATATATTTCTTACAAATTTCAATTATAATATAATTTATATTAAAAAATATCTACATATTATAAGTTTTAGTTATGTTAAATGAATATTTATCCCTTGATTTCTCAAATTAAAATACTAGTTGGTACTTATTTAATAAGTTAGTAAAATTAGTTGTTCAACCAAATAAAATAAGTATATGTATGACCATTATATATATATATTTTTAAGGTAAAAATAGAATTTTATGTTTAAATTTTTTCACTAATTTTTAATTCTTATTGCTCTTTATTAAAAAATAATTATTTATTAAAAAATCAAAATAGTGTAATAGTTAAAATATAAATCAACAAAATGTATAAATTTTGCTTGTACAAAGACTAACGCATGTAATTTTAGTTATAATGACTAAAATATAAATATTGTGCATGTATAAGAATTAAAATAAAACAAAATAGAACACTAAGTGTAGGGACCAAGAGTTTGTTTAAATAATTTTCTTATAAATACTTCTAGAATAAATAAATGGGAAGACAAAATATAATATAATTTTTCATAATTTTATTTTATTTTCTGTCGACCAATAGGCGCAAATATTCAAAACAATATTCGACAAGTTCAAAAGATAAATATAGAGGTACCAAAAGAGAAATAATAGGATCATGTGCCATAGACAAACCATATTTGGCAAAAGAATATGTAATTTTGTTGCATTCATGTAACACACTTGATTGAAGCTTTCATTGGATGAGCAGTGGTTTTTTTGATAGTCCGAACAATGTGTTAGGGATGATTGTCAAGACAACCATCTTCTATAAGTTTCACTATTTCAATCTATGAAGCATGGACACGCCTTTGTGTCTTTGGGTCAGAAAATAATCTTGTTGGAAAAGAAGAAGAAGAAGAAGAGAAGCGTTCTCTTTTCTCTTTTTACTTAAACCTTCATGGAAGCGAACAAAAACCAAAGAACAAAAACATGCAGTGGTAATACAAAAATCAGAATGCATATGATAGAACAAACCAGACACTCGCAGACCTAGAATGAAAACTAGAAACGCAAACGCGCAAACACATAACAAGAACTAAGAGGTGCATACATTGAAGGAGAACTAGAGATGCGCAAACACGTAATGAAAACCAAAGATGTGCAAACACATAACGAAAACATTAAACTAGAATGTCTTTATGCCAAAGAACCAGAGCACTGTTCAATCGAAGAATTAGAACGTTGTTCAACCTCTAGCAAGTGGAACTACTACACCGTCATGGCACGGTAAAGTCCTTTGTTTCTATCTTTAATTTTTTCTAATTACTCATGAATGGAATGCATACTCCCCCCACATCAAGATGTGGAACTTACTATTGAAAGGAACATATGCTTTAAGTGGTCCTTTGTGGACATAGATGTAACGACACAAGTAAATTTGAAGTTTGTAATTTTTTCCAATGGAAGAGAAGGCTTTGATGATGTTGACTCTTTGAGGGATAAAGGTCAATTTGATGCATAATCTTGGTGGCTAGTTCACCTTGTTCATGCACAACACTTTAAAAAATTTCCCTTAAGCTACTTGGATAACCATGTTCATCTTCTTGTGAAAGAAATTGGTGTACATATTTTCTCATATATTCTTTGAAAAAAAAAGATGATACCTTAAAGAGCACAAAATCTATTATTTGTTTGTAACAATCTCTACCTCCTTTATAGAAATTCCCCAACATACACTCAAGGGGAGATTAAAATGTGGGACATTGTAGGGATGAAGTTGCTAATTTGTCTTTTGATGAACTAGATTTGCTAATAATGATGATTTCTCATAGAATTTTTTTTTGTGACTCTTTATTATGATGGTATTTGTTAGATTTTTTGTTGTGGACTATAATGCTTCTTAGTAATTTATTTATGAGATTTAGTAAGTTATTGTAATATTATTATATACATATATATATTGTCACATTATTCATATTATATATATTTCATGTTCATGTGTCCTATATTTTTTGATTTTTTTATATCCTTGTGTTCGTATTGTGTCCCTGTGTCATGTCTGAATTCGTGCTACATAGATTTTGGAAGACTTTGATTGAAGCTCAACATCTATAACACCATGTTCATTAGCAAGGTAAATTCCATGATGTGAGAGAACAATCAAAGAAGAGAAATGATTGAATCTGAAATATGAATCTATCATTTTAGGAAACACAATACAAGAGTATTTATATACAAGTAGAGAAGGCAATCAAACTAACTTAGAGAATAACAACTATGATGTCAACTTATTCACATTGAGATAACAAACTATAACGGTTTCAACAGAATGTTGACTTGATATCCTTTTTATCCCCCTTCAGACTCAGCGTGGATTGTTTATCTATAGTGAGTTTATCTCTTAGATCTAGGAAGATAGCTGAACTTTGAGACTCATCTAATAAATATGCAACTTGGAACCTTACTGGAATATGCCTAACTTGAATTTGTCCCCGAGCCACTCTTTCTTTAATAAACCAAAAATCTAATTCTAAGTTTTTAGTTTTAGTATGCAAAACTGGGTCGGTAGATAGAAGAATTGCCCCTTGATTATCACACCAGATTAGAGGTTGCTTTTTACTTCTGATATGAAGTTCTAAAAGAAGATTCTAAATGTATTGAACTTTTGCAACCAAACTTGCCAAACTTTTGAATTTTGTCCATGACACCCATTCTATCCCAACATATAATACAAATATAATAAAGAAGAAAACTATTTATAACTTGAGCAAAATAGTTCACATATAAAACACTCATAAACATCCAACCAATTTGAAACAAAATTTATAAAATAGAAACTTTACAATTGTATCTAACAAAGAAACATAATGTCCAAATGAAATAAACTCCAAATCTAGCCTATTGCCCCAATGTCACACTATCAAAGCAACTCATACTTTAACTTTCGGCACCTTCAGTGCCACCCACATCTAGTTCATCCTCACCTAAAATAACCACAAATAGTACGGTGAGAATATTATCAGTTCCAAAGCCATCCAAGTCTATAATCACATCCTAACATAATTATTCACCATGAACAAATTGACACCAATGCTCATGCACTAAAACCTCCTAAGAAGCATTAACTCGGAGCACCGCATTATGCGCGAACCTTATCAATCCCCGCAGGAACCACCACACACTTCCCCACTATTAAACACCACACAGGTCAGTGGTAATGCACTGCTCTATTAATCACCACATAGGCCAAGACAACTATACATATATATTATACATTCCCTGTTAATCACCACACAAGCCAGGGTAATGCATATGCGTCTATCGATGGTCAATCCATATCACCAAATTCATTCCTCATCTCCATTCATGTTAATGCCCATTTATTAACCATTCACATACAATCAGATTTATATATCACTCATCCAAATACAAATCATTCATACTCAAATATACTTAGCCAAATACACACGTTTTATATTTATTCATACAATAGTCATTACTGGACATCATATAATTCACAACCATCATCAAAATCCATCAATATAATCTCATATTTCACAATCCCACATCAAACTCATTCAATCATATGATAAGTATTATAAAACATCACTAAGAAATCATAAAGTATCACAAACATGCCCAATAGGGGTCCCAAAACGTCCAAAAATGCAAACTGAAATAAAATACCTGTATCGGGCACCGTAAATCCTAACAATTTGACCTCTACTCACTATTTTGACCATAACTTGAGTTATACATAACCATTTTGAGTGATTCTCACGTCAGTTGAAAGATAATATCCGAGGCTACAACTTTTGTGAAGAACACGAAGCCTAAAAATGCTGTGAAGGTAACCTCACATGGTTGACAACACAAAACTTAATATTTCGTGCACTACAATGGAGACGAAACTTATAACTCGTATAACTCAATCAATTTTTAACATTTTTACTTGATTCTAGAGTATAAATTATAGCCCCAAGTGTATACTTTCTAACCCAATAAACAGAAATTGATTTCATTAATCACACAAAAAGATATTACAAATATGTTAAGGTACATCCATAAGTAAAATCTCCCAATTATTTATTAATTCATATAACTAAGGGTGCTCATCAATCTACAA